ACATTTTTGGCAGATAAAATTTCCAGTTGGCGGAAAAAAAATATGAACATTTTTTTATATAAAAATTATCATCCGTTTTGGCTTAAAAAAAATTGAAAGCCAGTGTGAGCCCTGCTGGGGTTTAACGTCCGCTCTACCCAAATTAGGTCATTTCGGGACTAACATATGTGTCACAATCATATGGCACAATTATGAATTTTATAACTTATTTAGGTTCACAATTTATTGTCTCATTTGGATCACCCAAACTCATTGTTAATTGTCTCATTTGTATCCCCCAAACTCACCTGAATTGTCAACTGCAATCTGAGGCATGCAGCTTGCGCACAATATAGGTATAAAAACAGGGGTGGATAGTACATCATGGTTAGTCTTTATAGTATTGTTCATTCAGGTTGAACAGGTGCTAATTTTAGCAGACTTTAGGTAAGATTATTTTCTTGTGTTTTATTAAAAAGTTAATGGTTTAAATGTACATTTTGTTATTTTAAGATAAGTACGTACCTTGATAGGTGAATCTATATTGAATAATGTATATTGAGTCATATAAGTATATTATTGTTTGTTGGTTATCTTAATCATTTGCAGTAAAAGTTATCGGGGGCATGTTTATTTGAGCCAGATGTGAAAAGGTTGTTAAATAACTTGGAAAGGATCCATGTGTTTGTCAGATATTGAAAAGGTATCCATGAGTTTGTCAGAAATTTAAAAATTAAGAAATTTAGTCTAATTATGTACTGCTGAGGTCTGTTAGAATTTCCAAAACATGAGGGGGATCACGGTGGCTAAGTGGGTAAGGCGCTGGCTCGCTAGCCTGGAGGTCGGATGTTCGATCCCTGCATTGGCCGAGAAAGTTCATCCTGATTTTCTGGCGTGGTTCCCCCTTGTCAGTGATGCAGGACGGAAGGCCTGACAAGGACAGCTGTCTAGTCATTCGGATGAGACGAAAAACCGAGGTCCCGTGTACACATTGGCGTGCACGTAAAAGATCCCTCGACAGTTGGAATTCGATATAAGAGTAGGCCGTACTGCCGCTGTCCGGGCAAAATTTCCCTCATAGCACACTGTATGGCTTATGCCCGTCTTCATTAGCCCAGTTCGGAGCAAAACAGTAGGACGTTAAACCCCCATTTCATTTCCAAAACATGAGTAATCTTTTAAAAGATGAAATTGTTGCATTTCCCTTCTCGAGAAAGTAAAATCTGTGTTTGCAGGGAAATTTCTGTCTTCATTTCATTTAGACTGGCTCACCCTCCCCACCCCACCCCTTTTCTTGAACATGATATTTGGAAATTCAATTAAACATATATTGACTCCAAATTAACAGTAATTTGATTTTGTGCATGAATTGTAACAGGGCATTTTATTTTGCACAAACAAATAGTTACATATAAGATTTCAAGGATTTCTAAGACTTTTTGTTTATGGCCAAACATGTAATCCTATGATAGGGTGGCCCATGTACTCACAGAAATACAGTCCACCGCTGATAGTTCGAGACTACCACTGAAGCGTGCACATTCGCCGTGCCGAGACCAGCTTTCTGACAGTATGATACTATAAATAGCCATGGCACGTGCAATTCTCTACAAATCTATCAACTATTACAGCCGTAAAAACTTTATTGTTGACGATTTTGAATAGCAGTAAAATTAAGCTTCTTGGTTATTACAGCAGATTTAGAAATTACGTTCGTTTCATTTTTTAAATCGCTTTATCATTAACTGTACCGTTAAGAGCGGCATCTTTTGGTTTAGTACAAATAATATCTCTGAAACACTCAGGTTAGGCAAGAACATGATACTAGCAGTAGTTTCATTTTACTTTTACAAGCTTCTTAAAACGATTGTTGAGCTACCTAACGTGCTTATTTCTAAATTCAATTTCTTGTTCTAGCTTTCTGTTATGTTTCGTAAAAAAGTAGTCTTGATTATCCCGACCTGTCAATCAGACGTAGAATGGTCGATAGACTGGTTAAGCGAGACTAATTTCAAAACAAGGGCACGTAACCTATCTTTTACTCAAAAGTGTCTGGATGTTATGGACGACTCTTGGAACCAGTTTTCAGTCTATTATTTATACGTGATTAATGGCCATAGCTTATTAAGTACAACATGATCGTTTATTTAGTGACTATAATTGTGTGGAACTGATTTGAGGCTTGGCATATATATAAGTATTGTGGCGTAATTGTCGAGATATATGGAGATATTTATTTATGGTGGGTCACCCTACCTATGACATTTTTTCCAAATGAGTCCACACCCCAAAATGGATATGTTGTAGATGTGTCTTTTGCAGCTTAATGTTTTACATTTTGGGTGTAAATCTATTATTTGTGATCTTTTACAATGTGGCACTTACAGAACAATAAAATATTAATTAATAGCCTTTTCATACTCCTTCTATGCTATGAATTGTGTCAAAACTCCCTTTTTCCACCTCATTTTGTCAGGAAATTGATTTAAAAATTAAAACTTGCTTCCACAAAATATTTACACTATGTAATTTCAAGGATACCTCTGATTGTTAAAGTGTTTTAAATACTGAAATATTCCCATTTTTAAAAAAAAAAGAAGTGTTTTGTGACCTTTTTATTAGAGTGGCTGGTTATCACCTGAATAAAGCATTTGTTTTACATTTATGAATCCATATTTTAATAAATGATTTATATGTCTTACAAGTAGATGTGTATGTATATAATCCAGGGATAGAAGAACATGGCTATTAGCCATATTCCATCAACAGTATTACTTATGTGGACACAAGTTGGATTTTTTACCACACCAACATTTTTAGGGGGTGGGCTTACAAGTTTCATTATAGTTCCTTACAGTTACCTTCAATGCAACCAATTTGCAGCTTGTCTTCTTGCATACTGGCCAAGGTTTCTAGAAATAAATGCCTTTCTCCTCAGACTTTCCAAGAAATAGGGAAATATTGGCATTTTGAGACATACAAAGTGTAAAAAATGGGCCATTTTGTAGAAAAAGGTAAAAAGTCAATTTTTGAAAAATATTCCAATATTTTGAATATTTTTGAGGAGACTTGTTTGGAACTCTTGAAATCTTTTTGCAGAACTTACATTTTGACAAAATTAAGAAAGAATCGTCAATTCTAGAACAAAAGGCCCATGGACCTGAGCTAGGGGTAGGGTATACAAAACAGTACATGACTTTAAAGAGTCACCATTTCTTCTGTAATTTTTTTTTAATTCTGTATTATAATAATTTTGCAAAAATAAATGTGAAGCTATAAAAAAAGGATTTTGATGATATATGAACTTTTAAAACCATATATGAAAACAACCTGACAGTGGATGAGAGGCCTAAATTTGATATGATCTCAAAATTGCCAGAAAATGTGATATATGACATATTTTGATAATAAAAAAAGTGAAATGGTAAAATTTCAAAAATATTTGACAAATTTGTAAGGAAAATTTTTGATTTTAGTCCAAATTTTGTGACTTTCAGTGTTTATTTACTTTTCAAAATTAGTGGAAAATATTTTAATGTATAATTTTTACTTTTTCTGCGTCATAAAGGTTAGACGGGAAGAAAGTACAATAATTTCACTCAATTTTGCCTAAAAATCATGATAAGTTGTCTGAAATTCTTCAGATTACCCCCAATATTGCTGTCAAAATTTTTATTTTTCATCTGTTGTAAAATGCAACAAAATGTGTTGCATGTTTTTATTTCCTTGTTAAATAACTTGGAAAGGATCCATGTGTTTGTCAGATATTGAAATGGTATCCATGTGTTTGTCAGAAATTTAAAAATTAAGAAATTTAGTCTAATTATGTACTGCTGAGGTATGTTAGAATTTCCAAAACATGAGTGAACGGCATTTTGCTGCCGTTTTCCTTCTGACTTAACACAATATTAATCTTTTAAAACCTGAAATTGTTGCATTTCCCTTCTCGAGAAAGTAAAATCTATGTGTTTACAGGGAAATTTATCTGTCTTCATTTCATTTAGACTGGCTCACCCTCCCCACCCCTTTTCTTGAACATGAAATTTGGATATTCAATTGAACATATATTGACTCCAAATTAACAGTAATTGGATTTGTGCTTGAATTGTAACCAGGCATTTTATTTTGGACAAACAAATTTCATTTCAATAATTCGCTTACCTATATAAAAAATCAAGTAACATTTTGGCAACGTCTTAGTGAAGTTCGTCATCTTTGCAATCAAAATTGGCTTTATTGAAATCATTCCAATTTCCATCTCGCTACTTCTCTGCATAAATACACACCTTCGTCTTTTTCTGTGCTCTGTAACCTCGCATATACTTTTTCTTTCTTTTCTTTGCAGTATCTGTAACTGTTTGCTCTCTTTGGTGCTTTCGAAGGTTATCCATGATGAATTGAACAAGACAAAAATCCCAACTTTAAATTTTACCCGAATGAATCACTTTTAAGGCGGGTGTGCCGGTAAACTATAGCAATTGGCTGTGTAAAAATAAACATCCAATCAGATTTCTTTTCTCAAATTATAGCTTACCGCCAACAAGCTGAGTGAATCAAAGCTCTCTATTCAGTTAAGTTAAGAATCGGTATAGAATAGTCGCCCTTATCAAGTGGCCGACGTAAAGTTTGACCCAAATGTCTTAAAAATGCTAATGTCCGGATAAGCGGTTTTGACGTTCACGTTCAAACGACTTAATATTTTGAACTGAAATTTTCAGACAAAGGTAAATGCACTATTCTCCTGTCGTCTGTATAGGGAAAATGTGCTTAAAAATCGATTTTTGTTGCACCCCCCCCTGGGTCTAAAAAATGTTGCCATTTTCTTACAATACAAGGTTTCTAGTGATGGAAAATCCATATTCCCACCTTCAGATATTGCCAGTTTTTAAAATATTACCCATTTACCCAGGGTCTCGGTCAATTTATCATGCTTGTCTAACATGACTTTGACGTCGTGATTTTGGATGATAAAATTACTGCAGGTGAATGATTTTTTTCGTGTGTACTGCCAAAATGCATAGCAACATTTGAAAAAAAAAATTATGGAAATATCTCAATTTGTATTTGCACAGGACCAATAATAAACGCCCACAAAGCAGTAATGTTGCACATCGTAGCATGTTTTTGTCTATTTATGAAAATACAGCGTCATTGTATTGATATTGAATTTAATTTATTATCAGAAATCATACATAAATTTGATAATTGCATAGACATATTTGATTTCAACCCAAAAAACAATGCATAAATGTGATATTTCAAATAGGGGTCCCAGGCAAAAAGGTATAAGGGGAGATAACTCGTATCATAAATGTCCTATAAATATTGAACAAAGACCAAATTTCACCTTGGCAATCCACCCTATCACCAAACAAATTTAAAACATTAATCTTTTATTTAGTGACTAGTATTAAAGGTTTAAATAGATATAAATTAGGCCTGTGTATTGCAATTTACAATTACATTTCAATATCAATATTTTTTTTAAAATACAGAAAACCCTTTTTTTAATTTTTAATAACTGTTATATCAATAATTTATTTAAATCTTGCTGTAACAGTTGTGCAATAATTAATGCTGAAATAGTGAGAATGTAAAATATAAAAACATATAAAACAAAGTACTAAAATCAACAAATGGAAAAGTATTTATCTTTAGATATATTGTTTGGTTATTTTTTAAAGATATAAATCATGCCTGTGTATTGTAATTAAAAACAACATTTCAAAAATTAATTCACATAAATCATATCCACTGAATGTTGTTTTATTGCACGTTGACACTGCTATCTGGTCATTTTGCACCAATCCACTTGCAATGACAGATAATTCGCCTACATATTAGTAGTACAGTAGGCCAAACGGGAATACCCCTGCATACTCCCACACCTTGTCATTGAGAAGAGGATTCAAACCGTTGAGCCCATTAATGACAGACCAATTGGCTAAATCGCCCGCACCCCCAAAGGACAAAACCATTGTACAGAAATAACAAATTATTACCGGTAGTTTGAAATGTCGACTTGTTCAATGTCCTTTGCCATCTTAATAAACATATCTTATAACTTGGCCATTCGCAGAATTTCTTTGTTGAAAATAATTCTTTTTCTAATCACATCTTCACAAAATATATCAAAGGTTGTCTCATATGCAGACACCTCTGAAGACCTGAAAAATTAAGTTCATAGTTACTACACGTACAAGGAAATCCCATCCTAGGTGATATTTCCATTTAAGATTTAACGATCAATCGCATGTATTGGCTGGTCGATTAAGAAAAACAAACATATTAATACACTTTAAACTTATCATATCACAAACAAGTCTTGACAGTACAAAAGTGCTAGTAAAAAATGTTCACACATTCTTAGGACGGATGTACTTTGTTTTAGTGCATTTGGACACCACAATCTGGTCATTTTGTGCCAATTCACTTGCCATCAAAGAAATGAAAATGAAATGAAATGGGGTTTAACGTCCTACTGTTCTGCTCCTAACCTGGACTAATGAAGACGGGCATACGCCATACAGTATGCTATGAGGGAAATTTTGCCCGGACAGTGGCGCTACGGCCTACTCTTATATCGAATTCCAACTGCCAAGGGATCTTTTACGTGCACGCCAATGTGTACACGGGACCTCGGTTTTTCGTCCCATCCGAACGACTAGACAGCCTTCCTTGTCAGCCCCTCCGTCCTGCATCACTGACAAGGGAGAACCACGCCGGAAAATCTGGATGAACTTTCTCGGCCAATGCAGGGATCGAACACCCGACCTCCAGGCTAGCGAGCTAGCGTCTTACCCACTTAGCCACGTGATCCCCTGCCATCAAAGATACCAGCACTACTTATACTATAGAGTAAATCGCCTACCGACTCCCACACCTTGTCATTGAGGTCGCTCAAGTCCATTGATAACAGACCTTTTTGTAACCACTTGGCTATATAAATCCCTTCCCACCCACTAGTTGCCTATGTAGGTCTATGATATAAAATATATATAACAACAAGCCACAAGGACACAACAACTACAAGTATGAAATAAATTTACCCTGACGACTGAACTGTGGGTTTTCTTGTTAGGAATCGAACATAATCTTTGTAGCATTGTAGATGGTACAGTCTTTATCTCTGATGTGCCTGAGAATGGTTTCATCTTTCTTAATTGCTGCTTCTCGAAGTCACCCTAAAAAGATATTTCCACTACCTAACACTGGGCATGGCCAGGAAAGGAGGGTGGGGGGGGGGGGCAATATTAAATCACAACGCTTGAACAAATAATATAAACTTACCCCCATCTTTAGTTTCTGCTAAAACCAGCTTATCAGAGACAGTCTTATTCTGACACCCGTACAACAAAGGTACTTTTTTGCAGATAATGCACACAGGAGGCAAGACATGTCCTCAATTATGATTTTGTTAATATTCTTTTGTAAATATTGCTCTCCTGTTTTCAAATATTATCGCAGGTGGACAGCTTGGGTGGTTGATGATTTAGTCGCGCTGATCGAAAACCTTGTCTAGACATGGATTGACTCTCATCACTCGTTTGCTTCTCACCAGACTGTAATGCAACTCTTTTAGTAGCTCGTTCAATCTTTGTTCTGTCTGTGAATATCGAATAACACTTGGAATGATAGCCATAAACCGGTAGTGCATCATCTTTATTCCCTATAAATACAAACATACTCCTAATATTATTGCACACATAAACAAAATAAGCAAATTAGAACCTGAGAGAAGAATTTAGGTGCAACAAATATCCATAATAACAATTTCTTTTATGAAAAACAATAAGACACTGCAACCTGTTTGCACTTGATTTGTGAAAAGACACTTAGACAATCTGGGGTTAATAAAATAAAACCAAAGGCTAGTGTGAATGCTATCGATTTTAAAACAAACCTATCTATGAACTATATAACGAGACTTATACAATGTGAAAGTCAACAAACATTATTATTTATCGTAACTTGCACACAGCAATGACAACAAACAAGAAATATTATATACGGACGTAAGCTCCCGTTGCGTTGTACCGTCCCGAGCATTTGTGATGAGCACAGGTGTCTATAAAATTTAATCCGCCTATCATTAAGAATTTAATTTAAAATGTAAACAACAAAAAATTCTGTGTTTCGCGAAAAAATAAAATGGCGACTCTACTTTCAATTTTAGTATGATTTAGTTGATAAACTTGCCCTCAAATACATCTTTATATTGTTGGCACAATTTTAGCTCGTTTCCATCAAGATTAGTCCATTCTTTAAAACTTAAAAAAACCTTATTCCAACTGGTATCTGTAAATTTAATCAGCTTTCCACAATCTTTGTCTACGAGGTGAATAAGGCACTTCATCGTCTCAAAGTAAACACGCTAACTGTAACTCAGACTCGCCTTTTGACCTGTGAACTTGAGGTCAAATTGGCGCGTAATATTATCTAGAGTTTTTTGATCAAGGGTCAATATGGGCATGGAAAATTTAGTCTTCACTGGCTACTAAATGCTAAAAATTTACTAGCCAGCACCAAAATTTTAGTAGCCAGAAATTACAATGCTATTAACTGTAGTCTGTAAGGTAAATCACTACTAGAACAACAAGACAAGGTCACTTTGACTCGTGGTTGAACTACTGCCACTACCGGCTAGATTTCCGTCAGAAGACTGTCACCCACGAATGTAGGGCAGAAGTTATTTTTAGTCTTTCTCTCCCTTTCCCTTTTTCCCCCCCTTTTGCATGGCGATTTTTGTTGACTTTTTGGTGTAGAATGGAAGAAAAGGGTTTGAAAATACATTTTCTACCGGGTTTTGGTGAATATTCATGATTTTGAGGCGGAAGGATACAAGAGTTGAGAGGTTGGTTAGGTTGAAATGTAGGGTCCAAAATTGCATGTTTTCTTGTCTCTACTTCCAGCTTGTGTATCTCAAGTTTTCCATGGTGAACCTCATACGTGCTTTTGGGCAAGAGGTTGCCACATGTTGCTCCATCTATGGTAGAAAGCGTTCTACCCAACGAAAATTTGGGAAAAAGTTAGAGCCGGTCTAAGAGATGAGAATTAACATTAAAGTCAATGGGCAAATATTTAGTGATCTGTATATCAATAAATTCTATCATTATGTATCAAATTATATTAAGTATTCTTCACCATGAAATGTTTTTGTTCTGAGTAACTGAATTGTATACATCAGTTTTATTATCCATACCTGTCGCGTTCTAACAATCAGAATGTCCAGGTGTGACACTACGGTGTCAGATGTGTAACCAGGAACTTCCAGACAACCGTGCGTGACACTATCGTCTAGGACTTTCTTTGACATCACGTCATGATAACTATTTCCAATGTTCAATTAAGTCTGGAACACCTTTTACATTAACTATGTTTTTATATCTTTATAACATCCATAATACTGGAAACTACACACACAACTATTACATTAAATATAAGCTAAATATAAGGTCTCTTTCCCCAACTTGTTTTTACTAGATTACAATTAACATCATTCTCTTTACCCTACCATTTCGTAGGACAAGTTTAATGACGTACCCCCAACATCATATGGCTCGCCTACGACATAACGGAGTGGTCTAATCCAAGTGGTGTCTAGATGATGTCCGAATGATGTTTGTTTCCCAGCCTCTCAGCCTAGGAGGCTGTGATGATACCCTGGGAAGCCCCTCAATGATATCTAAAGGAAACTAAACCCCGCGCGTTCTTTTTAAAAGGTTACGTGCATGAGTCATGTATCGAGCCCCGGGAAATTGACCAGGTACTTCCTTTCTCGGATTGGTCAGTTGCAAAGAAAGCTACCCTGGATTTCAACACAGTGTACTTATATGGGCACCTAGGAGGACAGTTGCCCGCGTGTCTACAGCATGGATTACCATGTTTGGATTATGAGACTATGATGTCATTGCCCGATTTTAAACTACCAGACTTATCCTTGTTAGCCTAGTTCTTGTTGTCACTGGTACTAGCTAACGACTTCAATACATTAACCAGAACATATTTACAGAACTTGGGTAACCTCTACAGTATATAGGCCCTATAGTATTATACAGGGTTCAATCACAGTGGTGGTCGAGAATAGGTTGGAAGTATGGGATGTGGTGGAACATAATGGACGGTCTCAAAGTAGGTTGGGATTATCGAGTATAGTGGAACAGAATGGACGATCTGAAAGTAGGTTGCAATTATCGAGTATAGTTGTTCGAGCAGAAGGGAGTGGATGTCATGCCCCCCCCCCCCCACACTGTACAGAGGGAGAGCGAGAGGGGACCCTAATAGTTGTCATCGTCTATCGGATACTAGATTTAACAACAGGAATTTCAACTGTAATCTACAGGTGTAATAGTTAGGTGGGGCTTATTTACTGCCAAACAGACCGTGACTATTTTATCGTCTATATAAATATATATACGTTATAGACTTGTATATAGGCCACTATACTTATGTTATGTTATCGAGACAAGCAGGTATTCATTTATTGAAACTGACTATTATAATATTATATTAGATACACCCCGACATTTATACAGTAATATACAAGTGACCAATATGATATAATATTCACAGATTTACATGGAAACTTTTGTTGACATTTTGGAATAGAATCAGGCAACTACAAGATTGTTCAAGTAAATAGGTGAGTTTTTATTATGATAAAGGGGTTATAAAGACGGGATCTTTTATATGCACGTCAATGTGTACACGGAACCTCGGGTTTTCATCACATCCAAACGACCCTGTCCTGGCCAGTCTATCCGTCCTGCACCACTGACAAAGGCGACACCGTGCCGGAAATTTCCGAGGAACATTGTTCGACTGGGTAAGGTAGGCTACACTTTCTTTAGTGGCGGGTTGTGATGAAGACTGTTCGGAAGCCCCCTCTCCCTCCGACACCCCCGATAGCCCAGTAGGCCTGCAAGGGGAAAGGTAATATGTGCCCATCGACTGGTGTTTCGATTTGTTTTTGTTTTTTTTACTCTCATTGGGAGTGTGGGGCGGGGGAGGCATATTCCCTTTGATTTTGTCGGTTTTTTGGTCAAGAATGAAAAAGGTATATTCATAGGCGTACAAGCCAGTTGGTGGGATGGGGAGGGGGTCAGCTGCCCCCTAGCTTTCGGGCAATCTAACTTTTCGGGCAACAGGTAAAGTGAAAGTGAAAATTATTATTTCATCTATTTGGCAAAATAAAGTGCCGCAAATTTTTTAATTGAATGCCATTTTTGGCAAAACGTGGCAAAAGTGTTAATATTTTACCTACAATTTTGCCACGTTGTAACGTGGTAAATAAAGTGGTAAAAAAAATGCCACGTTTGTCTGGAGTGCAGAAACGTAGCTTTTTAGATTGCCATGTTTTTGAAACGAGGTATTTTTTCCGAAACGAGGTTGGGTAAAAAATGCCACGTTTTCTTCAAATAATTATAACCGGTACTTGCCATCATCAAATAGAGCCACACATATAATGTCTCGACCTTCACGTGAATAACTGCAGATCTACAAATTAGATTATTTATCAGGATATCATAAATATAGTTAATTAATATGATGGTTTCCTTCACTGGAATTCTATTGTGTATAATAAACATGGCGGTTGGTGGTTCTTCTCCTAGCATATGTTAGATTAAATAAACACTAGTCTATTGTTTATTTAATTATCAGTTAGGTGGAAGCAGACGTCAAGTAGAGCGCAATAGAAACTTTAGTTTTAGTATTATCGCGCTATATAAATAGAGGATTATTATTATCATTATTTCACACAGACGGCGTTGTTAATTAAATTACGAGCTCATCAGGTATCACCAAACCGCAGTGGTTACTTAACACCTATATGGGTCATTATCAAAATCGGTAGAAATTGCAAATCCCAAATGAGCAAATTTCAGATTTGATTAATTGTTTATTTTTTATTATTATTTGATAAACCATAGTTCAAAGTGTCAGTTCTGAATTTAGAACAATTTTACAGAATTAATATTTTTTTGCCAGCTTTTATCGGTCACCAGTTGGAAATATGAAATTTCCCTCAACGATTAATAATTTTGTTGAAAATTTGTGAATATTTCATAAGATCATTTTTAAAGCATATTATTTCTAATGATTGGTCATTCAAGCATACTAAAACATGTTTTCCTCAGTTTGGCTACATTTTTTGTGTACCTAGTTTATACTTAGATGAATTATTATGGATTGTTTCTAATTTAAGTATGTATGTGCACTCAGACAATTATTTCGTCATGTTCTGTTGAGATACATCAATGAATCCTTGAAGATAAGTAGGACGACTGAAGATTTAGGCTTGCTATCATTTTTACTGACTGTTTATTCACAGTCTTACAGAAAGGACTATTATGTTACAGTAAAGACACAATTGTTACAGGGTTGACATAAAGTTATCTGTTTTTGAAAGAAAACTGGAAATATTCTGTCAAGAAATATATTTCCACAAACTACGTCACATGAGTACTGACTGGCACTAGCATCATATATTTCCAGACAAACGGGAGAAGGGTTTAATATAGGCTATGATTGTTCCTCAATCCCTATTCAGATACAAATCTGAATAAAAATATTGCTTTAAAAAAAAAAACCAAAAAAAAAAACCGTGATATCAAATTTATGTTAATGGTGTGATGTTACTGGATTGATTTTACAGGAAGGACATGCTCTCTGGAATCAAAATTATTTACAAATTGAAACAGCATAATTACATTCTTTTATTACTATTTTATTAGCTTGAAATTCCAATTTATAGAACTGTATATAAATCATAAAATGCTAAACTATAACATTGCTGAAATTAGTAGAATATATTGTGCTTCAAATAAATGATGATAACAAACGAATAACTTTCAAAATAAAAGCAAAAGTCAACATTACCAAATTTTGTAGGGGTTTGTCTTTATACTATGGCTAAAATTATCTATAGACATGGTAAGGTTTGGGGGCGTTTGGAAAACTTGGACCGTGAACATTTTATGATACATTTTCTATTTATTTTGCTTGAACATTAGTAGTTTATCCTATCATCTTCTAAGATTTTGGGAAAGTATATCCTACAAAGTTTTGTTCTGTGGTGTTTTTCACCACAAGAGTTCCACAAGATATTGGACATAGAAAATAATTCAATTTTTTCAAAAATTTCTTCTGAGACCCTCTTAACCCCCGGTGTGGTACCACATTCCACCAGATTTTCGGGGGCCATGAAATAAGATAGTCAAGTAAACTAGAGTACGACAGGTTTAGTATTCGGACAATGAATTACAGTGGGCTGATATCCAGTTACATTTGCTCTGTTTTTGCTTGAAAAGACACAAGAAACAGATTAAATTTAGATTAAAGCGATGTGCTCTTGCTTTTCTTTTGGAATTGTCTGTTTTGAATGCCATCTACAAGTCTTGCAAAATATTAACAAGCTTTTGCCAGGTTGGGACAAAAATGTCAAACGTGACATTCTGACTTAACTAGTCGCTATGATTGAATTTATCCACGACTGGACGCAATCACGAGCAATCAGTTGATCATAGTCGTAAGCGCACCCATGTCGCCCGGTATCAATTGAAGAATCGGAGCCACAACGGATCACATGACTGACACGTAATAACCTTCAAAATGACCTCATTCCACTTGTCCCCTGGGTACCACGTGACTAAATAACCGAATCCTATTGGCTACGTCAGCGGAGCGCCGACTCACGCCAGTCATAGGTGCGTTCATGTCGCTTGCAACTAGGGACAACTGCTTGTCATCAGTCGTAAGAGTAGAACATGTTTCTCAGAGAAACTGGAGACGACTGGACACAAACACAAGAGCGCTCAGGTCGCCCAAGTAGTCACGACTAATCAGTTCCACTTGATCGTAAACGAGTCGCCGATTTCGAGTCTCCGTCAGTTTTATCGCGTCGTAGGTAGGCTATATTGGACCACATGGAAGTGGCTGGAATAGCAGGACAATGCGTTTGCGGCAGTTAAATTTTCAAAATTTTCTCCTAATGGCTCCATCTTCGTGGACAGTATAAGATTGATTGGTTGATAGGAATTCGAGTCAGCTACTTAAGTTAGGCCATTTTGTACTTGATGTATTCATGAGCTGGGATCGCAGGAAAACGCGTTTGTTACCGTCCGCTCCTTCACCGGACACCACCGTCTGTGACTCTCATTTTTTTCGGGCATGGCAGGTTTTGCCACCCATCCACCCTCTCAACTCCTAACCTCTACCACTCATCGACCCCGGACACCTATGTATCACGGGACAATTTATGTATAAATTTATCTGATATTTCTAGATGTATCTCGGTAAGAGGACACTGGTAAAACACCCTTCATAAAAGGCTTTTTGTTATTAAAAAATTTAAATGTCTCACCATGATCTAAATGTATAAATAATGAATCTATTTATCGTTGATGTTATACATACGTATACAATTTCACACACCGTCTTCTTTTATATTATAAATATTGTTATTGGCATACTTATTCAACAAGGATGTTACTCATATATCCATTTTATTTTTACACGTGTGACGGATTTAAGGGGCATAAAAGGTCTGACTATTCATTTTATTCGTGGAAAGCAGTGAGGTGTTACAATAGTTACATAGAAATAGATGTTAATACATAGATATGACGTCACCCTTTGGTGTTTTTAACCGGTATATAGGAGATTGTACACTTTTCTTAAACAATCGCCTATTATTTATAAAATTGTCCACTATTTATTGAAAATAATGGACAGTTTTACCAATATTGCAGACCTACCCTTTCCATCACCTGCAATGGTGTGGTAAAGTTGATAGATTGAACCTGCTTAGTTCGGGAAAATAGATTTCTTGATTGACAACACGATAAGGTTTAAATAAGTTTATATAATCCACAAACGACACATGATACAGTTTAAAACAATTAAATGAAACGCGTAAGCGCGTAGTCGATGTTGGTCGATCTAGATGTATTTCAATTCACCATAACCATTAAACACCATTTCTGTTGGTACTACACATAACTATAACACAAAATACATTTATGCTCGACAAGTTGGCCCTGAAAATACAATAGTTGCCATTATCCATATATTCGTAACCAACAGTTCTATTGGCTACACATCCTACAATTTTTACCTTACAGTATTTGAATTACATATATAATTATATATCAAACACTCATGAAACTCACAGTCCACTTGCAGTCATCTATTACAAGAAAGTTAAATTAAATAGCTTACCCATTTGTGGAAAAGAGCCGGTATTGACCTTCACTAAATCTGTAACATGTGGTACTGATGCATGCGTGTAATTTAGTTTTATCCCAGCTAAACTTCTGAATAACCAACCAGGACAAAGAATTACTAATCACCTGATAAACAATATTTCAGAAAGAGACCACCTTCAGAACTATAAAGAGTCCAACGAGTTATCCTTTCAACTATACCAAAAAATATTAAAAGTAAACCCATATAAGAACTAAGACATTTCAACCACTAAAATAAAACACCATAATCCGGACAATACAATTCCAGACCCATACAACTGAAAATCCATCCCCCAAAACATTTTAATGAATTTACATTATCTCACAACCAAAACTATAAACTCACTTATTAAAAACTTCCAACAATCAAGACACTGATCAGGACATTCTTCACCAA